GACATGGTCGCGCTCCAAGTCCCGACGCCCGATGCCCCGTTTAACCTCACGGTCGGGTCTGACTTCTCGACGATCGGGTGCGTGCTCTCGCAGACGTCAGCCGATGGCGAACGGCCGATCGGGTTTGCTAGCGCGACGCTGAACGAATGTGAGCTCCGCTATACGCCCGTGGAGAAGACGATGATGGCGCTCCTGCTCGGAGTGCGCCAATGGCGGCACCACCTCGGCGGCGCAGTGATCCAGGTGTACACGTGGAACCCAAACCTTCGGTGGGCAGTCGCGCATGCTCACCACTACGGTCGGCTGGGCAAGTGGCAATTTGAGCTCGGGTCGCTCCCGCTCAAGATCGACGTCGGCCAGAAACGACAGCAGTACCCGCTCGAGATGCTACTGGGCCGATCGCCGCAAGACGCACCCACGGTCGCTATGTACCCTCCGACCTTCCAGTGGCCCCATATGGGCGAGGACGCTGTTATCGTGTCGAGCGATGGAGCCAACCGCGGCGGGGAGACGAGTGGCCACGGGTTCTGCATGTGGGACAGCCGTGGCCGCACTCTGCTCGAAGCCGGCGGCGGATCGGGCCCGGGCACTGCGACTGTCAACCAGCAGGAGGCCGCTGGCCTCGAGGCCGCGCTCAGGGCCGCGCGGGGACGCGGGAGCCGCACCGTTGTGGCGTTCTCGGACTCCGAGCTCATCTGCAACCTCGTCCACCGAGTTTTTGTCCCCAAGGAAGAGGGCCTCCGGAAGCGCATCTCGACGATCACGCAGATCCTCAGTGGCTTCGACGCGTGGGTGCTTTACCACGTGCCTCGCGAGTACAACGGCGCTGCCGACTTCGCCGCCAATTGGGTCATGGACGACCAGTCGCCAGTGGACCGCCAAGGAATTGCCGATCGGAAGGCCATCAACGTCGAGGTTGTCCAATCGTGGGTCGACGCGAACCGGCCGCTACCACCGTGGGGGTGCGTTCCCCCGTATAGCGCCCCGGACCAGGACGCGTTGTCAGCAGCCATTGAAGCCACAGACGATGCAAGCACTGCTGACGCGTTACGCAATCAGCGGATCCGGCAAGGCCAACTTGGCGTCCGATGGATGGCCGGGTTTATTGAGTACCTCGAGCAACATGACGATGGCCGGCCGATCCGGTACAAGCTCGAAGACGTCGCCGACTACACGATGATGGATGGCGTGCTTTGTAAGGTGACAACTCGACCCGCTTACCGTCGAGGCGTCGGACCGGGCCGCCCAGTTGCCGTGATCCCCTCGTCACTCCGACGGGAACTGGTCGCCGGCGCACATGCCGGCGTCGATGAGTCTCATGGCGGCATCCAAGAGACTCTCGACAAACTCGCCTTGACGTCGTATTGGCCAGGCATGCTCGGCGACGTCACTGCGTTTGTGAAGCGGTGCATCCGATGTCAAGAGTCCAAGCACCCACGTCACACCACGCGCGCACCCAGTGGGAGCCCACGCGTCGGGTACGCCCCGATGGACGCGCTCGCGGCAGACCACGCGGACCTGCTCAGTGTCCCTACGGCCAACGGCAACAAGTACGTCCTCGTCGTCACGGACCTCTTCACACGCTACGTCTGGTGCCTGCCAGTCCGCGACAAGTCGGCGGAGACGACGGCGATGGTGCTGCACAACTTTATCATCCAGCCTTTTGGAGCACCACGAGTGCTGGTTTCCGACCGGGGTCAAGCGTACATGGCCAAGGTCTCGCGGTGCCTCTACACCATGTACAACGTCAAGCACTGTCCGAC